GACAACAGTTGAGAGAGTATATAGTACTACCTCCAAACCGTTTTACAAAATTCTAACCCCATTCCCCCATTCCCCCCCCCCATAAACCCCCACACATCTTCTTACATCTATAATTATGTTGATATCTTAGATCTCTAATAAAATGATGGAAGTAAGATAGCTAGGTAGATAGATACTCCACCATATTGTGTGATTGATTGATAGTTTTATAGATTGGACAAAGTACTACTTTTAGAGAATGCAACATGTAAACCTGTACCTACCATTTTAGGATGATCATTAAATCCTTGAAAATTATCTAGAAATCTAATGATAAATCTATTTATGAGGAGTTAGGGATGGATCGTTTCCCTTTTTTAAAAATATATATTTTTCAAAAAAGAACGATTTTCGTTTGAAAAACGACCCTCCGTTAACGACCGTTAACGACCTTTTAAAGTGAAAATACATTTTCTGGTCGGATAATCCATGGTCAGAAAACATTCAGGAAATTTGTCTCGATTAAAAAAACATGTAAGACACCATTCATAGCCTTATTAAATAAATTAAATTAATTGTCATAAAACTCAGATTCATTAACGAAATTTGTTTAAAAAACAATGGTTTAAAAAAACAATAGTTTTTGAAAAAACGATCGTTTTTCGTTGTTTGAAAGTTCAAAACAAGAGGTTCGTTTATAAAAACAATATTTTTTTTTTATAAAAATGGAACGATCATTTTTATATGAAAATAAAAACGTTATGTTTTTTGATTGTTTTTAAAAAACTATTAACTATTAGAAGTGTACCAATGTATAATAATATAACCATCTTCTATTTCAATTGAAAATTTTTAAAATAAAAACAAAAAAGTTCGCGGATTTTGTATAATAAATTTTGTGGATGACATCTTTATGAAAATTGAATTTTGCTGGGGGCTAGTTTTTGAAGATTTGTTCATCCGTAAACCTTTTCTGGGGTCATATGTTGTCCCACACATAGTTTGGGCCCGATCAGTTCAGCAGTTTTGACGTTTATTGGATACAAACAAACAAAATGACAGACAGGCAAGCAAAGTATATATATAGTTATATAACCGAATAATCTGAAGAATAAAACTACGTGATATCAAAGTATTCTAATGAAGGACGGACTAATTATTCCACGAAAGGTCATGTTCCGTTTCATGTGTACTTCATCAAAATATAAAATTGTAATTTTTCCAAGTTCATTAGTTTCCTCATTACTTTCGGGACCACCCTGTCCATTGAGGACAGAGTCAGNCCCCGGCTCGGACAGGTTAGGTTAGGACAATTTCGGGTCCGAGCGCTGCGGCTAGGACAGACTTAGGAAGCAACCGCTTGGGAAATATTCTTGGTAAGTTGCTACTTGGGAGAAATCTTTTAGGAAAGTACCTAACATACTTGGTTATGGAATAAGGTAGTACTTTGAGCTGGAATACGGGAGTTCTTGGAACTAGAATACAGGAGTGCTTTGAGCTAGAATACAGGAGTACTTGGAGCTGGAATACAGGAGTACAGGAGTGCTTGGACCTGGAATTCAGGAGTGCTTGGACCTGGAATGAAGGTGGACTTGGAGCTGGAATACAGGAGTACTTGGAGTTGGAACACAGGAGTATTTGAAGCTGGAATACAGGAGTACTTGAAGCTGAAATAGAGGAGTACTTGGAGCTGGAATATGGGAGTACTTGGAGCTGGAATACAGGAGTACTTATAGCTTAAATACAACAGTACTTGAAGCTGGAATACTAGAATGATTGGATCTGGAATGCAGAAATACCAAGAGCTTTTATATTGCCTTCCAGGAATTCTAAATGATAAGAATTTTGTTCATTTGCATTTATGCCAAATAGATAAGTACTTCTGTAAAATTAAAAAGTTATATTCCAAGATAATCCTGATAGTACTATTTGCATTGTCTTTGGATATATTTCACCTATAGTTCTTAAACAGTTTTTTACTGTGTTGGTAGTACTCGTTCTCTCTTTAAATTACCGGGCTACTTAAAGAGTTAATTAGTGTATTTTAAAGTTGGTTTACCACCATTTAATTAAAAATAAAAACTGTAAACAGTGCTTGCTCTCCAGACCTAGCTATCAAAAACTCAAATAGAATTTGAATTACAAATATGAAAAAATACGCAATTCCCGTTCACTTTATAAAAATTTTGACTGGCTAGGACAAAAAGATAAAATGAAAAAATAAAAAAAGTGAAAGATCTTTAAGAAACTTTTAAAAATGAAGTTAAAAATTAGGGTTTCCACGAAATGGCTAAATCTTTTGCGCAAAATTTGCGCTATTTCGCGCAAATTTTTTTTTGCGAACTTTTGCGCTATTTTTGCGCATGAAACGCAATGAGTTTTGCGCGGTTTTGCGCTTTTTTTTGCGCAATTTGCGCAAAACCGGAAATACTTTTTGCGAAAGTTGCGCATGAAACGAAATTTTAGTTTTGCGCAATTTGCGCAAAACCGCAAGTTTAACGCAAAATGTAACTTTTTAGGCACATTGTCAAAAATTGATATTCTAAGCTTAGAATTAAACAACTGAAGATTTATTCCATACATAAAAAAATATTAACATACGAGTATGATAACGATTATACTACACTCAATTGGTTGCTTCCAGTAACAAAAAGGTTAAATTAAGAGACCAAAATTAATAAAATAGAAATTAGAGAGTGTGAAACTTGGCAATATTTTAATCCTATTAAATAATTTCAAGTGACCCTTAAAAGCTTTGCCTAATCAAGTATGAATTATATTCTTAAATTTTTTCAATCAAATTTCTGAAATCTTTTTTATCCCATATAAAATAATGCAAGAAAGTAACCAATGCCTGAATAATCCACTTTTAGGAAATATGCATTTCCAAAACTAAAATTGTCGAGACTTTTACTGGACAAACTGTTTCGGATTTTGGTACGAAATTGCGGAATTGCGCAAAACTTGAGTTTCGCAGAAGCGGAATAGGGCAATTTTGCGTGAAATGACTTTTGCGAATGATTGCGCAAATTGTTGTTTTTTTCGCGCAAAACTGATGCGCAAAGAAAGAAAAATTTTGCGTTTCGTTCCGCAAAAGTTTTGCGAATGGAAACCCTATTAAAAATGTTTTAATGGTTAAATGTTTATTTATTTATCATTAAAAATTTTCTGTTATTGATAAAACTTAAAAATTAGCTTTTAACCCATTAGAACTGAGTCTTATAAAATTGTAAAAATTTAAAATACCCAATAATCTAATAGCGAACTGTTTACTGTACTGTACAGGGTGTGCCAATAAATATGGGAATTAAGTGATAACTTCTATATCCTCTTTGAATCATACAGCATTATCTTGTAAACAAAAAATAATATTGGTATCCCGCCTAAAACAGTTAACATCTAGAATCTTATGTTCACGAAAATTCCCAAATGTGGTTCTCCCCATTTGATTACCTTCAAACTTTTCGGAGATTTTCAAAAAGAAACCTGACAGGATTATAACTTTTGAACGACATAAAAATATTCAAATTGATATCTTCGTCAACATTAAAGATAAAAAGTAGGAACACCAAATTTCCAAGACTTATACGACGCACAATCATTTTTTCAATGCACTCTGTGATATTTATCAGCTATTTGAAACCAAAGACGTTTTTTAAGACATCTCTTAATTCGCATGTTTATTGATACACCCTGTACCAAAATTCCCATGTTTATTGATACACCCTGTACCAGAATTCCCATGTTTATTGGTACACCCTGTACCAGCTACCCATGTTTATCGGTACACCCTGTACCAGCTACACACGTTTATTGGTACACCCTGTACCAACTACCCATGTTTATTGGGACAAACTGTACCTGCTACCCATGTTTATTGGGACAAACTGTACCAGCTACCCATATTATTTGGGACAAACTGTACCTGCAGACTGCAGCTATCCGTAAATATTTGCTTTGACATTTTAAAGTCTCATGGTGTCCGTTTTTACACCTTCGTAAATACTGTATATAGAATGTTTGCCAAGCTATTAAATCTCCTGGTTTACATCTTTACTTAGTTTATATTATATCTCCTGGTTTACATCTTTACTTAGTTTAGTTCTTAACTGTGGCTGCCATAGTTCATCTTATATTTATATATATATATATTGTACTTTGCTTGTCTGTTTTCCGTAAAATTTTGAAAATCCACAAAAAAATGTAAATTCGTAATTATCTTATTTTTGTTTTATGGAAGGGAAAATGCTGAAAAATTAAGCAACAAAAGTTAAAATAGAAGATGGGCGCGACGCATCTTTTAAAGATAACTTGATCTCGTCTATATGCATCACATTTTTCCATCCGTTATTGGCAAATGTTGAATTAAATTTTTTTAATGGTTTTGCAGTTTTGTAATAATACAACCATTCTGGCCCTCTACTAATAAGAGGAAAGATTTGAAATACTTAAAGATAAAATCTTTTTTCTCAATAGGCTCTTGTCTTTTTGTTTTATCAAAAGTGTGGAATGTCACACAAATGTGAGACAAAATGTGACAACAATTCAATCTCTGTGGTGGATTTGAGGAATGAGGATAGAAAAGTTGGACTGCCAGTCTGATAAAACGAGAATAATAAAAATATATAACTGTACAAGACAATCAAGTTTCAACAAATAATCCCAACTAAAAGGTGTGTTGAACCACAAATCTGTTCATTTTTCAATTCCTGGCACATAAAAAGCCATGGTTGTAAGGTTTAAACAAAACCGTTTTCAATCCTGAGAATAAAATGCCGGACCGGAGATAAATTACAACCAAAAAACAGAATTCCTTTTACAGCCCATTTGAGTAATATATCCATCCATTTATCTCACCAATTGTATTCCAAATTATGTGTGTCTATCCGCATAATAAGATGTTAAAACAAATGATAAGATATGTCATGGTCTCATCCTATGAATTGGTTCGGACGGAGTCAGTCCGTTCAGTTCCCGCATTTTCTTGAATCATCTCTTCGCTCTCCCCGCAGTTACCCTCGGAGACGCTCAGTACGCTAGAAACCATTGAGGAGTTAAGACGTGACGTACTACGCCGGGCCCTTTCAAGCCTGAGAGTGATTAAATCTGAGGTTTGGTGGTCATAAAATCATTACCATAATTATAATCTATACTTTGCAAAAACTAATTAATTGGCTGCAGCCATATTATTTGAAAATAATTGACATTTAAAATTTGAATAATCATTGTTAATTATTGAAAAGGCTTTGACAACAAAGATTGATCCAGTCATTCAATGAAAAAAGTTATTTAAATGTTGAATTAATTTAACAATAAACCTCATCGAATGCTTGAAACCCCGAATGAATGAAATAGAGCGGTTTTGAACATGGAAGTAATAAATATGTATATTTTAGTTCTAATGTTTTTATGACTTCCTTAGAAGGAAACGTTAACCCCCCCCCTCACACCCTACACCAGTCCTGGAAGTGAAGATGGGTTGTTGTGTGAATCGTGCCTCGTAAAAACAGGAAATGTGTTGTGAGCAACAGTGCTTGGGTCTGATGATCTATTTGACGAGTGAACAAGAAAACTAAACGTGATCCCTGTTGATTGGACCTGTGCCTCATTCTGCATGGATGAATGGCAAACAAAATTAACTCGACTCAACTTGCATCTTTTTCCCGCAGCTCTGTAATCTATACCGAAGATCAGATCCGTCCTATACCCTTAGAAGGACGAAGGTCCTGTCCTATACCCTGAGAAGGACGAAGGTCCTGTCCTACTGGTGTGATGAGTTGTTATTCGAGAAAAGGACGAAAATATCTAGATATTCTTAAAGGACGAAGAAAAGACGACAGGCCTTTTAAAAAAATCTCCAAGGAACCAAATATATAAAATAGATAAAGAGATCTGATATTAAACAGCATTTTCTAAAATGTCTTTTATGTACTGCGGAAAGTATATAACAACTAAATAATTTAGTGTTTAATATTTAAATATAACTTTTGGTTTAGATCAAGGGATTTAAAGGAAATAGGGTTATATATGAGGACGGATTCTACTCCACCAGCCTCTCAAATCTACACCAGGAACCAGAGAACACATACTTTATACAGAACACAGAGTTTCATCATAAGGGAGATATTTCTTCTTTTTCAAATCTTGGTCTTGTTCATTAAATTAAAAAAAAGTTTATAGATTTACTTTTGGCAACAACCCATCTTGACTTTTTTTGTATTTTCTCGTGGGTTCATTCTAATTTCCATTCTTGGCCTTTGTCTTGGTCTTGTTCTTGTTTTTGTTCTTCTATTTTCCTATAGCGTGGGTGTTCTGTAAGCCTATCCTATATATTGGTTCTGCTAAATTAAACTAATTTAAAATGTCAGAAAATTCCCCTGCTTCACCCTTCCTTCACTATTCTAAAAAATGATTTGCAAAATATTGCGAATATTTTCAGATTCCAAGGATTAAATTAATCCTGGTTCCAGGTTGGTCCGAAACCGTATATTATCTACTCCCTTCTCTCTAACCATCTATTATCTACACTCCCTTCTCTCTAACCATCTATTATCTACTCCCTTCTCTCTAACCGTCTATTATCTACTCCCTTCTCTCTAACCGTCCATTATCTACTCTCTTCTCTCTAACCGTATATTATCTACTCCCTTCTCTCTAACCGTATATTATCTACTCCTTTCTCTCTAACCGTCTATTATCTACTCCCTCCTCTCTAACCATCTATTATCTACTCCCTTCTCTCTAACCGTCTATTATCTTCTCCCTTCTCTCTAACCGTCTATCATCTACTCCCTTCTCTCTAACCATCTATTATCTACTCACTTCTCTCTAACCGTCTATTATCTACTCCTTCTCTCTAACCATCTAGCTATTATCTACTCCCTTCTCTCTAACCATCTATTATCTACCACTTTATTTACACGACCCACTCCGTTTATTCCCATTATCTATTCCCTTTATTTCCAATATTTAATACCTTTGTCCCCATAATTTAATCCCTTTATTCCCACTATCTAATCCCTCTTTTCTCACTATTTAATCCCTTTATTTACACTAACTAATCACTTTATTCCAACTATCTAATCATTTTATTTCCGCCATTTAATCCCTTAATTCCCACTATCTTATCCCTTTATTCCTACTCTTAAATTCCTTTATTCCACTATCTAATCCCTGAATTTTCACTATTAAATCCCTTAACTTCCATCCCTTCATTGTTTAAACTGTCTCTACATTTCTATACTTATTTCATATGGAGTTCTTGTTTTAAGAATTGTAAGATTAGAAAAATATCTTGAGGTTCAGGATTTATCTCCGGAGGAGAACATTTACTCCGAACTGAACTTCTCCTCTGAACCCCGAAGTACGGATTTGAACCTGACCGGGAGATCTGAAGATACAGACCTTAATCTATCAACCAGTTCTAGAGAGATAGGTTTAAACTTCTCTGATAGCTCTAGAGATACTGTTCTAAACCTCTCCAGTATACCAGGAGACCCTGAGTTGAACCAAGAAGAAGTTGAACCTTGCTCCGGTTCCCAGGATGATGAATCTCAGCAATCCTCATCAGAACTAGGAAAAGAATCAAGAGAATTCTTTTAGCGATATTTTTATTTTTTAAAAATATTTTTTTGTAATATGTGTTTTCCCTCAAAACTTTTTGTATCTTCATCTTTTGAAATTCGATATTTTTCTTTTTCATTGCATCAAACCTTGTGTTGCGTGATCGGGGGTGGGCTTTATCCGTACCCTTGGCATAGTTCTCTTGATCCTAACCTGATCTGGAGCAGGTAACCTGGATATCATGAATACAGGGTTCCAAGAATATCTCCGGTTAAGCTCACCAGACTCAGGATACAGAGAATCCTCTCCAAGGGACGAAAACTCTCAGTTCTCCGAAGGAGAGAGAGGTAAAGCTAGACCAAGTGAAAGGATTGTTAAGAACACCTTTAATACAACAAAAGTCTCATCCAATCAGACTGGGAAATGTGCTTTAGCTCCAGGAAGAAAAATGGAAGAATCTAAACCGGGTTCAGCAAGAAACAGAACCCTGAGTAAGCACGCTGTCCGGAGATACAGCGGTGCTGAGCTGGCCTGGGAGAAAGGTTGTAGATTATCCATCTCTTCATCGAGTTCTAGTTCATCAGATAGTGAATATCTAGTGTCAGGGCATCACAATCAATCTTACTCCCTAAAAACGGATAAATTCCAAAGTTTATCCGTCCCTAGAGATAGAACGGGCCGAAGTAAATCTCTTTCCTCTGACAAAGAAGAGAAGAACGGTGTGTGTGATCCAAGGTTTCAAAAACAGATCATCCCTGGCAGGGTTGAGTACGGGACGGATGTCGGGAGAAACCAACATTGCCTGGGTGAGAGTTTTCTCCGGGAACATGAAGTCGGATTTATATCCTCTTGTAACACGGGATATAAACCCTACAAACACGCACAAACAATGCCTGATTTTTCCAGAATTCAAATGAGAGAAGGGTTAGATGAGTTTGGAGATATTGAGACAGAAAGAGATAAAGTATGTCCTGTCCTGAGTATAAATGGGTTTGATGAGAAGAAAACGAGACACGTAGGAGACTCTATAAAATCTAATATCGTGGGATTTAGCACTCAGCGCTTGATTGAAACTATTAGTCCCATATCCAGGTGCAATACTTGTATCCAGGAGTGTGTATCCACTGTATCTCCAGCCTGCTGTACGGGTATCCGCTGTTGCTCCAGACAGAGTATCCAGTTATCCAACTGCTGTATAAACCATGGTAGTCTTCTGTGTCCAGTATCCAACTGTTGTATCCAAGAAGAGAGAATTATATATCCCTGCTGTATTCAGAAAACGCAACCTGGCTCTGTATCCTGTGTCTCAGGATCACCTTTTGTATCATGCAGACCTGTATCCTATATTCGAGAGGAACGAGGTGTATCCACCAGTAGCAGTTCCCCGGATAGTGGATATAGGGATAGTTTTCAGGATACAGGATACAAGGCTAGTTTAAAGGATAAAGGTGGACAGAATACAGGATACAGGGATGCCGAAGAAGATATAATAGATCTAAGTATAAAGGATACAGCTAGGTTTGGTAACTATCCAGGGTGTAGACAGCCTGTAGTACCATCTAATATTTATCTAGATCAGATAGATCCACCAGTCTCACTTAGCAGTCACAAAGTCCAACATGCTGTTCAGCAAAGAAACCCTTTACAAGGACACCAGCAAGAACACCCAGTTCAACAAGAACACCCTGTTCAACAAGAACATCCTTATCAACAAGAACACCCTGTTCACCAAGAACACTCTGTTCAACAAGAACACCATTTTCACCAAGAACACCTTGTTCAAAAAGAACACCCCATTCAACAAGAACACCCCGTTCACCAAGAACACTCTGTTCAACAAGAACACCATTTTCACCAAGAACACCTTGTTCAAAAAGAACACCCCATTCAACAAGAACACCCCGTTCACCAAGAACACCCTGTTCACCATCCTTATCAACAAGAACACCCTGTTAACCAAGAACACTCTGTTCAACAAGAACACCATTTTCACCAAGAACACCTTGTTCAAAAAGAACACCCTGTTCAACAAGAACACCCTGTTCAACAAGAACACCCTGTTCAGTATACAGATGTGGATTTTCCAGGAACAATTGACAAAGATAAACCCAAGATTTTGGAGCGAAGTTTGAAGAATCAGAATAATAAACTCTCCTCCCTGCCCAGTCATCACGATGACCCAGAGCAATCAAGGACAAAACAATCCTGCAAATCAATATTCACATTTGTCCCAAATCCAGAAAAACCTGAACCCTATCCTAGAGGGTCTAAACCTAAATTAAGGGAATCTGAATCAAATACTAGAAGATCAGATTCCAATCCTAGGAAGTCTGAATCCAATCCTAGAGTAACTGAATCCAATTCCAATAGTAGATTATCTGAACCCGACACTAGAGGACATGAACCCCATTCTAGAAAAGCTGAATCTAATCCTAGATTAAAAGAAACAATCTTGACTAAACCAAAGCAAATGTCTCAAAAACCTGAAATAAAAAGCTTGGACTTGTTTTCTGTGAAGACTGTTCCAGAACACGCAGAACGAAACTCCAACTCGGGGAAAATTATGTTTGACCAACCCAATCCTTATTCTCACACCGCCAGGCCAAATCTCACTAATTCCGAAGTTTACTCCGCCAAAACTGAACCCTACTCCGCCCTCACTCAATCTTACTCCGCCAAAACTAAACCCTACTCCGCCCTCACTCAACCTTGCTCAGTCCCAAATGACTCCTTCTCCACGAGGACGGAGAACTCTAAGCTAGAAGGTTGTGAAGACTCTGATTCTAGTAGTGAGTCGGAAATTGGATTCATCATTGGTAAGTACAATAAAACAACAACAATTTTAAGTCTTAAAGGGACTGTAAGCGTAATTCTAAGTGACCCTCCATGCAAAAAATAACAATCCTCCATATACAACAGTAATCTTAACAGCTTTGTCTGATCAAGTATAAATTAGATATCAACGTATAATATAATTTTGAAAACTGTCAATTTTCAGTAGTGGTTTCCCTACAAATTTCCACAATGGTTTTTCTAAAAATGAATTTTAACTTCACCAGATAGAATATCTATCAATATTTTCAGAATAAAATTTCATTCTCAAAAATGGTCAATTATTAATTTTGCCTTGACGTTTCAAATGAACCCCGTCACCTGTCAATATCTAATTACGAAGATTTATCCGTATGTTCATAAAATACGGCCTTACCAATGGCGAGTAAAGGTTTAATCTATTAGAAGGGGGGGGGGAGAAATTACACATTACAAGGGGGAAAAAACTTATAAAAAATGTACAATGGGGATTCTGTGAATTTAGCAAAAACTTTACCTTGATATTTATCATTAGAAAGCAGTAAGTAATGAGATTTCAATTCATTTACTATCAGAGGCGCAAACCGGATTATTTTTATAAAAGTGAGAAAAAAAAACTCTGTTTACAAATTAACGGAGAAAATATACATTTTATCATTTTCATAAGGTAAGAACTCAAAAGACCTGCAATAAAAGTATAGTTTTAAATTAAATTATATAGTCTCCCCCCCCCCTGCCCTGTAGCATAATAATTGATTGTCAAACTACTCTGACAGATTTGACCCTTGCGTCATGTTTAATACAACCGATGTTTTGTGAAAACCCAATAAATTGGTTGGATTGCCTCAATGCTGGGAGCTTAAACAAATACCCGCTCTAAGGCTTAGGGCGCATTATTAAATTCTTTTACCATCAGTAAAATCTAAATCCCGTAAACTCAGACTCGGTTTTAAATTTCTTACATCAAAACAATGCTTTTTTTCACTTTTTTGGATTCTTAATGCTTCTCAAAATCACATTTTCCATTATAACTAATTCTTCCTCATTCTTTATTTTCAAATTATCTTTATTAATCTTTTCTCTTTTTAAGTTTACCGCCCCATGTTATTGTTTCAAATTCTTTACTTCCTTATTCCCTTCCTTTCTTCCTTCATTTTAAACTTTTCCCCCCTCTTCCTTCCTTCATTCTAAACGTTTCCCTTCCTTTCTTCCTTCATTCTAAACTTTTCCCCTCCTTTCTTCCTTAAATCTAATTTATTCCTTCCTTTCTTCATCTTTCTAAACCTTTCCCCTTCCTTTCTTCCTTCAATATAATTTTTTTCCTTTCTTTCTTCATCTTTCTAAACCTTTCCCCTTCCTTTCTTCCTTCAACATGATCTTTTCTCTTCTTTTCTCCCTCATTATAAACCTTTCAGCTTCCTTTGTTCCTTAATTCTGAACCTTTCCCCGGCCTCCTTTCTTCATTCATTCTAAATTTATTCTCAACCACTACTTTCTTGTTAATTTATTCAAGAAACCGTTATCCTTGGAGTTTCTCAGAGTTGTGTAAAGAGCTTAAAAATAACTTTTATGGTATTTGTAATAGCTCTCTAATTACAAATAATTGCATATATTATTATTTGAAAAGCCTATGAGGAAGAATGGGTATGGAGGGTGAATATTTAGGGGTGTGGGATTGGGGTTAAATTCCATCATGCCTTAATGTGTCCAGAAAACAATATTAATATTTGTCGAAAGCGAAGATATAATTGGTTTTGTTAAGCATACTATCTTACAAGCCCCCTCTCCAATATATATATATGAATTATGTACCCGNTCTAAAGAGGAGATATGTCATGTTAAGAATGTCGTGTATACACTTCATTGTACACCTCTAAGCTATGCTACTAATTAAACAAAGCTCAACCCCCCTCCCCTCTCCCCACCCCATCTTGTATTTAAGCACCATGGCAAACAATGCAGCTGTAAAATACGTATATATTAGGCATTTTTGCATAGACATTTTTGTAATTTATGCACTATACGCACTCCACGCCCCGAGTATAATTTTGATTTTTATATTTTTAATTGCAAACCTACACTGGGTATCAAAATGTAAAACATATATGTATACATAATATATAAAGAGAAACTTGAACTCGATCCACTTCTGCTTAATTTTCGTTTTCAATTTGGTTTGGCTTTCTCTTCTCTGTAGGCAGGGGTTCAGTTCTTTTTGGTTCTGTGTTTAGTTTTTTTTTGGGCTCTTACTTTTGTTCTGCTTAATTCGGGGTTCTCTTCTCTGTAGGCAGGGTTTTTGTGTCTAATTCTCTTTGGTTTTGTGTTCATTTTTTTGATTCTGTGTTCACTTCTCAGTGGTTTTTGTGCTTAAATGCGCGATTCATGTGTCCAGTTCTTTTTGGTCTGTGTTCACTTCTTTTTGGTTCTGTGTTCAGTTATTTTGGAATCTGCGTTCAGATATTTTTGGTACTGTGTTTAGTTATTTTTTGTTCTGTGTTCCGTTCTTGTCGGTTCTGTGTTCAGTTATTTTTGATTCAGTGTTCAGTTCTTTTTGGTTCTGTGATCAGTTTTTGTTGGTTCTGTGTTCAGTTTTTTTTTGGTTCTGTGTTCAGTTATTTTTGGTTCTATTCAGTTATTTTTGGTTTTGTGTTCAGTTATTTTTTGTTCTGTGTTCCGTTCTTGTCGGTTCTGTGTTCAGTTATTTTTGATTCTGTGTTCAGTTTTTGTTGGTTCTGTGTTCAGTTATTTTTGATTCTGTTCAGTTATTTTTGGTTCTGTGTTCAGTTCTTTCTTAAATCTCTTTGATTGAATTTATTCATCATACTCTCCATGATTGAATCTCTATAAAAGAATCTCAAGTTTTGAATCTCGACGCTTGAATCATGTTCAAATATGAAACTGTATTTTTGAACCAATCAAATCAATCTAATCTATATAATTAATTCAATCTCAATGCCTGATCGATTCGTTATGTTAAATCTCTATTTCCGAATCTCAATATTTTAATATCTTTGTTTGAAGCGTTATGTTTTAATCTCATTGTTATAATCTCTTTGGCATAATCTCCATATCGAAATATCCATATCTTAATCTCTTTGCCTAAATCTCTATATCTGAATGATTATGTTTGAATTTCTATACTATAATCTCTTTGTCTGAATCTCAAAATTTAAATCTCTATTTTAGAATAGCGAAATTGAATCTGTTTGTTAGATCTTGACGTTTGAATTTCATTGTCTGAATTTCTATGTTTAATCTCTATGTTTAAGTTATTATGTCTGAATCTCGATGTTTGTATTGTTATGCTTGAGTCTCTATGTCTGAAGCTCGATGTTTGAATCTCAATGTTTGAATCTCACAGTTTGTACCTTTGTGTTTGAATCTCTCAAAGTTTGATACTCTACGCGACGTTTGGATATTTTTAGTGAATTTCTATGTTTAATCTCTATTTTTAATCTCTATGTCTGAATCTCTATTGTTTAATCTCTATGTTTAATCTTTATGTCTGAATCTCAGTCTCTATGTTTGAAACCGAACCCGAATATACTTTTGCACGCTGATCTCTGTCAATAGAACAGATATTTCTTTTTAAAATTTTTTTTTCAAGATGTGTGTTGGACTTCTAATTGGTTTCTTTTCGTGTTTCAAACTTTTTCATTTGAAAGGGATGTAAGGTGAGGAGGTGTGGTGTGTGTGAATAGTTTTATAGGTTTATTGTATACAATATACTCATACTGTAGAATAGAGGGGAGGGGAGGGGGGATGCCTTTAAATGGATGAAGGTGGATTTCTACTTATTATCCGGAGATTCTTTTCAGTTTTTTGTTTAAAACCTTGAAAACTAATTTACTTTGTATGGCTAAAACCTGTTTTAAGGTGTTGTTAAAACGCATATTTATGAAGCAAATACAGAAATAATTTATACAGCTAGAGGTATCAAAATTAAGATATATCCATCTATCTATTTTGATTTTGAATCATAATATATTTACAACTTGTAAAATCCCACAGACCTTACTCTTTTTTTTATTTTGTATCTCAAGGAATTAAGTCTTTGCCACGAACTCTGATTTTTAATCCCTATATCTCTGTAACCCGATGACGTAGACCTTAGATATTTTAAACTATGATTTATGTTAGATCAAATAATATAAGTGTAAAATATCAAAGGTTTACACGATCAGGTTGCAAAGATATAGCGATTAGAAATATTTCAGTTTGTAGCAAAGACTCAATTCCTCTGTTTTAGCTAAACACTGTAATGTTTCATGAACCACATTATTCAACACCATGATTGTGAATGTTTGATAAATGCTACAGTATATGAATAAATTTGAAATAATATCATATCAGAAATCGTTTTCAGTGTGTAAGGCCGAGTAAAGTGTATGCAGAGGGTCTGCGCCTGAGAATTAATAATTCTGAAGAATTACTAATTTATTCAATTCTATGCGTTTTCTAAAGGGTGGGGTGAGCTAATATTTTCAATGAATGCTGAGTGTCGTAGAATATTTTAAAAGGTATTTTTGGAAACTATTGGAAACTATTGGGCACTATTGGGAACTATTGGGAACTATTGGGAACTATTGGGAACTATTGGGAACTATTGGGAACTATTGGGGACTATTGGGAACTATTGGAAACTATTGGGAACTGTTTTTGATTAGATTGCCCCGAACCTTTTTGAACAGTTTAAGTTCTAAAATTGTTTCTTAAACATTTGAAAAAAACCATTGATTTTAAACGCCAATATTGTAAACATCCGTTCACATCCAAACAAATATTGGCAAAAAAACATTTATTTATTAGTATTACTAAAATGTGTCAGTCTGTAAATAAACGTAGTTTTTTAGCCCTAATATGATCAAAAATAAAAAAAAATGAATGGTGCACAGGTGTTCAAGATGCATGTAACTATCATGTTTTTTTTTTAGAGTGTTCCTTTCAATTCAAATATTGAATTTTTGCTTGGGCAAGATATTTACATTTTAGTTGAAATAGTTTCTTCCTGAGTTTAAAAGAGAAGTAGATAAAAGTTGACACCCTGAGTCTAAAACTAAAGAACGGAAAGTTTTGACTTAAATTTTAAGTTCATGGTTAAATGCCACTTCTGACTTAATTTAAACCTGAACTTTAACCCTGTGGTTAAATATTTAACTCGCCGAAATCGACGAGTTAAAATTTAAACACAGGGTTAAAATCTTGAAATCCTGCATTTTCCCTATTTGTCTATTATTCAATCATCATTCAGCTGAGAAAGTGGCATTTAACTTTACGATATATCTAAAAGTGAAAACCTTGTTAAAGAAATTTCACGTTTTAGATTAATTAATTTTTGCATGTAAACCCAAAGTACGGTTGTGACTCGAAATATGTTTTGTTTTCGGTTACGTAATCAGCTGATTAGCGATGGTTATGTAATATTCTCCGTAAATCCTTTTCTCTGATTTTCCCGGGAAATTCAAATTTAAAATTGAGAAAGTTTAATATTTAAGTAGCTATTCATTATCTTACAGAACTTTTAACCTCGAACTTAAAATTCGCGCATTCTTTAGTTTTAGACTCTGGACAGATAATGTATTGGATAGTTTTTACAAACATTTCAATAAAACTTCCAAAATTTCAAAAGAAGTTAAATTTTGCTATTATTGATATCTTTACCATACTGTTACATCACGTTCGTTTTTTGGATCGTTTTTTGGATCGTTTTTGGATCGTTTTTGGATAGTTTTTGGATCGTTTTTGGATCGTTCTTGGATCTTTTTTGGATCGTTTTTGGGTAGTTTTATGGATCGTTTTTGGATCGTTTTTGGGTAGTTTTTGGATCGTTTTGGATCGTTTTTGGGTAGTTTTGTATAGTTTTTGGATAGTTTTGGATCGTTCTTGGATCGTTTTTGGATCGTTTTTGGATCGTTTTTGGATCGTTCTTGGGTCTTTTTTTGTATATATCTTCTGCCAGGGTCAAATTTTAACATGTCAAAGAAAGACAAACGTTTAGAATAAAAAACTTAGAAAACATTTGCTACTCTTCCGTTTTGCCAAATGTTGTCACTGAAAGAAAATATAGACAATAAATGACTGGAAAGCGAAGAAACTGAAAGCGCATCACACCCTGAACTACAATTTGAATTTGATCGCATTTTGGTTTAAAATTCAACAATCTATATACTTACAGAAAAAACGAATGTTAAGAGGTTAAATTGTGATTAAAAGTCACTCCTTGCTGGAATAAGGACCGAGCGTGTTAAATAAACGGACAAATCTAGCTTAAGTGGACTTTTACGTCTTTTGGACGTTTTTCTTTCTTCTTTACATTTAATCCCATCTTTTAGGTTATAAGATTAGACAGAAAACCTCATGTTGCAGGACACGCTGTGTTTAGTAATGTATTTTGCATATAATTAGCTGGACGCCCTGTATATATATATAAAACTGCTCTCTATTTATAGTATACGTCCTACACTCCTACGCCTAGACATACTTAACTCACGGGGAGAATACATATTAAGGACTAAATCATGAATTATTTATTTTATTTCTATGTCCAGTGTCTAACCCTCTCCCCTTTCCCCTTCCCCCTCCCGTCTTTTAGGCCCCCTTTCGTCCTTTCTATAGCTAGGGACCCCAAAAGGAAGATTTGTTTTCTCCACATTTTTAAAATTGTTTTTTTCCCCACATTTTTATTTCTTCTCAATCCACTTGTGTAGTACTGTAATTTCTTTCAACCAACACATAAAATGTTTCTGAAAGATTTAGTTTTTGGCTTAGTAAATTGTTTAATAGGTTAACTAAGATACGCTTCTAACAGATTTGTTAGACGTGAAATTCATTGTGCATATTGTATTCTATAATTATAAATAGAAAGCTACATATCGTCTCTGAAGTCTCATCCTTTGTGGATAACCTGTATATTGTATATTGTATACTGAGGATTCAACTTTTTATGTTCAGTTCTTTCATTTCTCCGCTTTCGCTTCTTGTTTTTGCTCCCAGTCTTCCGAACAATAAAATATTCTACATACTTCTTCATGTAAACCCTTCTCTCTAACCATCTATTATCTACTCCCTTCTCTCTAACCGTCTATTATCTACTCCCTTCTCTCTAACCGTATATTATCTACTCCCTTCTCTCTAACCATCTATTATCTACACTCCCTTCTCTCTAACCATCTATTATCTACTCCCTTCTCTCTAACCGTATTAACCCCCACTCCTATCTCTTTAAGAGAGCCCCCTGTTTAACCTGCTTGAGAACCCAAGTATGACTGTTAGTATCCCTATATGGAACTACCAATGTCTAAATGACTGGCGTAGAAACACCATAAAAATGCTTGAAAGAAGTTTGTGTGACTGCCTTAAACGTTCTGTACACACGTCTCAGAAAAGTAAATTTAACTTAACTTTTCATTTCAGCTCCAAAAAAATTTTGGTTCGAAAATCACGTATTTTAGTATTTAACAACAATTTTTTCTCTGTGAAATATAATCTTTCGAATTTTCAATATTGAACACATCTGTATATTAAGTGCTGTATCTTTATATATATACTCAGGAACCCCTGGATCGATTGCCTCAAATTTTCACTTGGGACCTCAAGAGAACCATGGGAGTGGTCTTAGCCTATAATTTTGAGATTCTCAGTTGAATGGATCGACTTAATTAGCAAAACTTTAGTTTCCCAGTAAAATCGAGCAATTTCGGGTAAATGGCGGGATTAACTATGAGTAAACTGAGCAGCGCCGGGTTCCCAAGCTGGTTATCAATACAAAGATGAAAATGAAGACGGCGAAATGTAAATAAAAGAGATGAAAGAGGTTGCTCTATAATTATATCGAGGTATACACGTATTGAATATTTGCCTCAGGCAGTGAATGAGGCGCATGTATAGGTTTACAGGTTTATAAATTAAGCCATCTGCTACATGTCCCCCTCTACCTCTTCATGATAGATGAGGAGACCCCCCTCCCCCTAGGATAGATATAGATCCCCCTCCCCCTGGGATAGATATAGATACGTTATATTTTCCTGACGATCTATAACAGTTAGTAATTAACGCTGTCTAATCTAATATACGGAAGTGTATCCTTTAAAATTGAATTAAACCATAATATTTGATAATTTTCTACTTTTATTTCTCTGACATTTTAAAAGGTTATAAAGTTGACCTAATTGTGTAAATACTTCATGTAAAAAGAGGGGGTGATCCCCTCACTTATTCTTCACTTGATCCTCACTTACTTCACTCCTGCGCCACTCCCCATACTTATTATTCACTAAATCCTAACATGCATAACTCTAATCACACTCCCCTTACTCATTCAATGATATGCTTTTTATAACTTAATAAAGGTTAACATACCTTTTTCTTATTTATTACATCCATTTTCTTTTCCCTCTTCAAACCCTGTTACATCACCTATATGGTACTTCCTTCCCAAATTCTTGCCCCTCCCCCTTGGTTATGTAAATATAAGAATCTATCTGTATGTAAATTAGAATACTGTACATATTATTATATATGAGTGAAACATACAGGGAAAAGTTATAAATGCCAACATTTTAAAATTAAATTTAACATAATTCAAATGTAGAGTTTCCTGTCCCCCCCCTTTACCCCCCTTACATCCCCCCTCTTACTTCCTTTAAGAAACCAGCCTATCCCATGTATCTAGAACTAGAACGTCTTGGGTTGAAATGTCAAAAAGTCATGAGTAATCTCGATCTATCTATCTATCCATCTCTGCACTGACTGTCTGTCTGTCTCTGTCTATTTTCTCTCTAACGTATTATGGTTAAACTGTTTATTTGCCCGTATATCTATTTACAGGGTTACCCAAAAAGGATGAGACTTCAGAGACGATTGCACGGAATTTATGTTGTCCGTTTCCATAAATTCACGTATCCCTGCAACTGTAACTTCTTTCTTTCTTATCATTTAAATAGACTATTAGATTACTATATCTAAGGCAGAATACATTATATCGTCACATTTTAACAGTTTCCGGTCGTCTTTACAATCTCAAACCTTGTAGGTAATCCTGTACGTATCTATATATCTTTATATTTAACCTATTTGTTGTTGAGTTTGTTTGTATTCAATAAACGTCAAACCGGCGAAACCGATAAAACCCAATTTTTTTACGGCAACTCACACGAGTATATGACTCAAGGGATGGAAAGTTTATGGCAGGTTTATATAGACATATTATGCCTGGAAAAGTCCATCAATGAAAAATGCACTAAAATTTGTTAAATGAAAAAGTAGCGGTTTAAAATCAACAGTTTAAAGCTTTAAATGTTACTAGAAAATGGAGCGGATCGCCCTGAATGTTAGTTTCTATATATTTCAGTACCCGGTTGGACCCTGTAATATCTGTATATATTAACTGGATTCTTGTTCTGTATAAGGAAAAGTTAATGTGTAGACTATATTCTATGGTTTATCTATCTAAACCTAATATATAACTAACTATATATTTCATACATGAATTCAATATATAATATATATATATATACCTATGGAAACCTAACTTTAAGATGAACTAAAGTAAATAAATATTTTCTTTAAAAAATAAAATATATATTTTTATTTTTTATGTCCGATTCACATCAGCACACTTAAACCTCTAATTAAGAATGAATGAACGTTTAATGTTAGTTGATGCACTTGTTGATTTTATTTCATTTTTAAAAAATAATACTGGATTCATAAAGTAATAAAGCTTGCACATGTTTTTTGTTCTTATTTTAAGCTTTAAGCAGATTTTTGAATGGAGACATTTTCTTATGTTTGATTATTTAGGAGTTCCAAGCAAACCGTGGATACAGATCTACAGGGCTACCGATTTTCTTGAGACTGCAATACGGAAAGACTCTTGCAAACAAGTTGGAGAGTTCATTAACGATACCTCTTCTTCGCGCGATAAAGTCTCTTCTGCCGGCACTCCTCCGACTCCCCCCTATCCTTCATCACAGAATCAGCCCCCTAGTTCTCATCAATCATCTCGTCAATTGTCATTCACTTCTTTTGGTTTACCCAACCTTAGCGAGCCACCGAAACTCCGACCAAGACCAAAATCAATGCTAGAATCATCAAGAGTTAAACTGAGAGAACACCGAAGCACAGGAACTCTGGACCTCTGGACACAGCTAAGCACTTTAGAGTTTAATCCTAATTTAACCCCCCCTCTTATACATTCTAGTCCATATGTAAACAGAGGACCAAGGAAACATGCTAGTTCGTCTTCTCTCCGCCAGGAACCGCTAGCATCACCAGATATCCAGTTGACCCATGAGTCATTGCAGCCACCATTAACAGAACATGAGATTATCAAAACCTTGAAGAAAAATGCGGATAATCACACATTTTTGGTGAGTAAACATTTTTTGTAAAGCTAGATTAAGATGAAAAGAAAGGTAGATCAAACAATAAGAAACAGCTGAAACATTTGTTTACTTCCAATCCAAATATTTTCTCTATCCTGCACCATTCAACCCTCCATTCATTCTGCACAGTCTTCTTCATTCTCATCCTGAACACTCCCTTTAATGTGAATAAGAAACTAGAGGGGGTTCAAGTATATATTTGCTCCGAACTATGATCTATTATTGATAAACCTCTTCATACAAGTTTACAGGGTGGTCTAGAGCGTAGGATCAGATAATTTTTCACGATAATGTATTTTTTTCGACCGGTATATTTAAAAACATCAGTTCTCAAGAAAAACCTATTTTTATGTATTTAGAGGACTTTTTTTCTTGATGGTTCAAGATTTTTGGAACACCTTTGTATGATCTGTTTTCCTGGATCAATCCCGTCCATTCAATCCATATTCAACATCAGATCAAAACCTTTTATTAAGTTCCTCGATCTATTCTATACCTCACTCAAATATGCATCCCTCTATTTACCGTCCTACCCGGAGAAAAGTCCAGGTTTAAGTCTGTAATTTTTATCCTTTGCGTTGTTTTATTTTGTTCATTTTTTCTCTTCTTTCCCTATTTTTCTTCCTTTCAAGATTTTGAGGCTTAAGTTTGATCGAGATCAATCTCTAATTTTAATGGACTGTCGGCTAATTTAAAGTATCTCTCCAAAGTGTAGAACAGTTACAGGGTGTCCCAATAAACATGGGAATTAAAAGACGACTTCTATTTTGTCTTTGTTCCAAGCGGGATTATTTCGGAAACATATTTTTGTAGTATCACAGTTAAAACATTGAACACCGAAAAGTAAAATAGTTTCGGGATTTCCAAAATGTGGTCTTCAAAAGTGACAGAAATATTAGAAAATTTTATCCAGATTCCAGTTTAATAAAAATTAACAAAACTGTTCAAATCTTTATTATCTCTGTCAATTTTAAAGATACAAAGAAGGTACTTGCTAGAGTAGAAACGGTACCAACCCTCTTTTCTATTATATAAAAATATAATTCTGTTAATTTCTTTCGATCTTTGCTTCGACTTATTAAATTATATTGTTTTAAAGTGTATGGTCCACTGCAAGTGTATTAATGCACATTATTTATTCTACGCCATAGTTATTGACAAATATTGCAGAGCTATTGACGAATATTACAGAGCTTTTGACGAATATTACAGAGCTATTGACGAATATTACAGAGCTATTGACGAATATTACAGAGCTATTGACGAATATTACAGAGCTATTGACGAATATTACATAGCTGTTGACGAATATTTCAGAGCTACTAGTAATTGAATAGCATCGATCTTAGTTCTTCCAATTGTTACTGAATTATCCATAGATTAATAACAACACAGATAGAACACTGGATGCCGTTTTTCAAGATTTTATTAATCTATGGAATAATCTCACTGTTATAGATTGTAAAGTTTTAAAAATACGATATAAAGTTTGATGAAGAAAACTTTTAAATATTGTTTGTCTAATCTTTCCAGGGTAACCCTAAATCATTCTGGGATAAATTTCTCTTCTCTTTTTTTCATATATTGCAAAATTACATTATTCCAACACATTTTTGATAACCTTGCTGCGTTTCTTATGTTTCTGTCTCTTATGTGTCTTTTAGTTACACATCTTTACGTCCTGAGACCTTTATCTTTTTATAACTATTTCTTGATTCCTTCATTCATATGACCCCTTCCAATACATACATATATGTACATTGCACATATACATACAATAAATATACAATAAATATACAATATATATACAATATACATACATACATATATGTACATTGCACAGTCCGTATCTATATGTCAGAACATAGCACTGTTATTTAGAATAAAAAATAATGTATAAATTATTACATATATCTTTAAGCGTAATTACAGAATAGTAGAAGGATGAATAACGGAGTTTGGAGGGTGAAGGATGAGGTTGAATAAAAACATTGAAGTTAATTAAAATATTTTGGATAACAATTATAATAATTTAGAAAATTCATGATAACAAATAATGTTGAAGAACCTATTCTAAATACAAACTATAATAAACTTGCAAAACATATTATTAATTAGTTTTATTAAAAGCTATAAAAAGTTTGCAGACACTATTATTAATTATCTATATAATAAAGCTCTATATTTATATTTTTATATATGCATATATTATAATATGCTGCTGAAGAATGTTCAACATGAAAAACAGTGTCCAGCAAGAAACTATATTAAAAAAACAATAAAAAATGTTCTAAACTTATTTTCAGAAGATAAATGTATATTTTAGCTATAGCAGGCCAAACGGTTTGACCAAATTGGCTGAAATTTTTTAAGGGAACCTATAGGTACCATTTGGTTAACAAAGGCTAAAAAATAGAACTTTTTCAGTTTTTTTTTTTTAATTCCCTGGCAACCCCGGGCGCTTCAGCTAGTTATTAATAAAAACGCTAATAATGTTGCAAAACCTATTTATGATTATTTTTAATAAAACCTATAATAATGTTACAGACCCTATGCTGTGATGAGCTTCTGCTAGTTGATCCCTTCAGCTTTAACCAGCTACAAGCAGACCCCTCAACCTGTAACCAGCTACAATCTGACCTTTTCACCTGTAACCAGCTGCAAGCTGACCCTTCCATCAGTAACCAACTACAAGCAGAACCTTCCAGCTCTAACCAGCTACAAGCTGACCCCTCCAGCTGTAACCAGCAACAAGCTGACCCCTCCTCCTGTATCAAGATGAACTCCGACTCCTCCAGCAGTAATCTGCTCCTGGAGAACATAATATCTCTCTCTAACTCCTTATCCTCTCCTCCTGTTTTGTTCACCACTGAACAGGACCATCTATACCTCCTGCTCTCTAGTATCCTCAATTCGAACAGTAAACCATATATATCTGGTCTAGTCTGCATCATAGACTCTTTACAAACAGAAGACAAGGTAAACTAGAATTAAAACTTAAACTAAATTTGATTCGAAAAAATAAATTCCAAAGCTGGAAAGCCGTACGTAATTATCTCTTTTTGGACAATTTCAANCGTCCATATATCTGCATGATGAAAGATATCCTGATGACTGTATAATTGTGTTGAAAACCTCCTGAGCTGGAATAAAAGGCCGGATAGCCCCGGATAATATTGGTTTAAGAGAGGAGGGTGAAACCACTTCCAACTATTATACCAGGATATACTTGATTAATTGATTATACAGGCTTTCTTGTGGTTTCCAGGATACAGGGCTTCTCAGATACCGCCGATGGGGGGGGGGAGAGATACCTCCTCCAAGAAATATATATTGAAGAGGAACCACGCCGTATCAGATGCGTCAGCTAGATCTATAAACTGTTAAAAATGGGATTGTTAATTACTAATTCAATTCTTATTAATCGAAAAAATATTGTAAAAAATGTTATATCAAGATGATCGATTTAATCTATTATATTTCATGAAATTCATATTTCGAACTTACATAGATTTTCTTTTCAAAATCAAGATATAAGTAGTAGATACTACTTTACTGACTTAAGTTAACATGTTATGTTTGATGTTTCAAATAATGAAAAATAAGACTTAAAAGTAGGGATAGGCAAAGTTCCGTTAACGAAACAGAGTTTTTCGAAAATTAATGGTAGAGTCCGTTAACGAAGGGCAAAAACCGTTAATTTTTAAATCATGGATGGTTGGAGATGGATGAGTATAACAGTTGAACGACGACAAATGATCTCATTTTTTAATCTGAACCCCCCTCTTACTT